TTCTGTTTTGTGTGATGGAAAAGCCCCACAAACAGACAGCAATATCAGGACATAATACCATGAATGTAATAAATCAATACAATTAATGTAATTAATGAATATCATAAATATAGTTATTAAATTACTGCAAACGTAATCAATGAATACCACAAATGTAATTAATATTGTAAGTGTAATCAATGAATATTATGAGTATAATTAATATCTTGAATGTAATTCATGCCACTGAATTGTGAACTTAAAAATGGTTATTTAAAAAAATATTATGTTCATTTGAAAAAATAAGGTAGAATGTAATCACCATACATTATATGTGAGTATGAAATTGAAAAAAAAATAAGGCGGTATATTCCTACAAATGACCTTGCTCAGTTTAGAAAGGAATGAATGTTTGCAGAGATCACCTATCTCCCAAAGCAATCTGTCTTGCCTGAAGCAGGGAAGAGAGACTGTGGAACCATCATAGCTTTCTATGGCTGCAAACAACTTTTTCAGTGTTTGAAATAAACAGTCCGGTCTGTTGAGGTCAGATTCTTGTCTTTTCCTGCCTTCTGTTTCTTTCTGCTGCCTCAGATATTTAACACACCCACACACTCACACATGCTACTAATAAATAAAAACCAGCCAAAAGGTAGATATAACTTGAATACTGATCAACAGACAGTTGGTAAAATTTGATTTCATTCAATGTTACAAAGGATTGTTAAATTTGGGCCCATGCTACAACTTTGAGGACACTGTAAAATAATGTGAAATAAGCTTATGCTGGATAATTTTATCAGCCTGACAGAAACTGATTTGAGAGGAGGGATCCTCAAAAATGCCTCCATAAGATCAGGCTGTAGGTAAGCCTGTAGGGTATTTTCTTAATTAGTGATCTCTGGGGGAGGGCCCTGCCCATGGTGTGTGGTGCCATCCCTAGGCTGGAGGTCCTGGGTTCTATAAGAAAGCAGGCTGAGCAAGCCATGGAAGCAAGCTGGTAAGCAGCACTCCTCCATGGCCTCTGCATCAGCTCCGGCCTCCAGGATCCTGCCCTGTTTGAGTTCCTGTCCTGACTTCCCTCAGTGATGAACTGTCATGTGGAAGTATAAACTGAAATAAACCCCTTTCTCCCCAAGTTGTCTTGGTCATGGTGTTTCTGATAGAAATTCCCACCACGACCCCACAGTCAGGTATGGTTGCACATGCAGGGAGGGACACTTAGTCATCTCTGCCTACTCATTTCCAGGTCATACGTCCTGTGTGACCCATGCCCCATGGTTTCACGGTCACGTAGTTGGGCACACGTAAAGGCATGATCTCTGCATGTGGGCCTGTGTGCACAGGTGCATTCTGGCCATGTGTGTATCCACCCCCCCCCATCTCTTTTACTTGCACGTGTCTTTCCACAGGCCTGATCACATCTATCTCTTTATCTTTATCTTGATAAAACTCTTGTTAGTGGATTCTGCGTGTCATGACTTTTTCTTTGGGGCAAGAGCACTGCAAAACAAAACAAAACAAAACAAAACAAAACAAAACAAAACACCAGTTTTATCACAGCAGTAGAAACCCTAACTATGACAAAGCCAGGCACAGAAAAATAAAAATTTTCTGAGTTGCACTTCTTCACCTGAAACTCACTATGTAGCTGAGGATGACCATGAACCTACCTTGGCCTCTGGAGTGCAGGGGCACAGTAGTGCACCACCACTCCCAGTTTATGTGATGCTGGAACCTAGGGTGTTCAGATTCATCAGAACAAGATGCCCTTGCCTGAGGGGTGGATTAAGGGAGGATCCTGGTAAATAGAAACTCAATCCCAGACCTCCATTTACCTATCAGCAATCCTTCTGTTTACCAGGTCATAGTCCTTCTGTTTAGGACATTGTCATCTGTACTTGCTGCAAAGCGCAAAAATATGAAGTAGGATTTCTGCTGACCATGATAAGCTAATATCTGGAAGAAGCCAAGGGCCTTCCAGAGGTAAAGCCAGGGCCCAAGGAGTCTTGATGATATTGGCTTTTGATTATTAGCCATTTCCTGCCATGAATTTCTAGTGTGCTATTGTAGCTTTTCCATCATTCATTGGGCACATTTTCTCCTCTGCTAACGGAATATTTAGATAACCTTCTGTGCAGTGACGAAGCCAGGATCTCTAATTTCAGGCCTTTCTGTAATTAGCATCACAGAATTAGCAGCATCTGGCCAAGGAGCAATCCCAGAATGGACGAAACTTATCTTACCTGAGATAACTCACAGATTCTCTAAGAACAGACTTAAGCATCCAACTGTTTAAGAAGGCCTGGCGGGTGTGCTAATTAAGCTTAACTTTCTCCTTTCCAAAGTCTTATCTCTAGTTTTAGATCCACCCTTAACAATTAACTCAGAGCTAAAGGGTTCCAACTTACAGATATCTCTAGCTGCAATGGAAGTTGCCTAGCAAATGGCAGGAGCAGAGATGCCTTGGAGAGATAAGGGCAGAAGGGATAAAAGGCAGTTTTATTTTCAGAGCAGGGACAGAGAAGAAAAATGAGAATGGAAGAACTAGATGGGTAAGAACTGGAGGGGAACTGACTGAGATGGGGAAGAACTAGATTGTAGGAGAACTAGATTAGAAGAGAACTACATTGGAGGATTAGAAGAGAGAACTAGAAGGACAAGATGGAAAATGAAGAAGAGCCAGATGGGGAAGAACTAGATGGGTAAGAAGGGGATGAGGCAGAACTAAGATAAAGGAATTAAGACAGCACTTAAAAGGGGACAGCGGAAAGATGTGGAGAGAATCAGGCAAGAAAGGAGCTAAGTAAGAGAGCAGAAAAGAAGCTATGCAGAGAACTGACTAAGAAAAATAAAGGGAATGAACTAAAGAGTTTCGTGTACATAGATTCATTTCTTATCATCAAAGATTAGATTATTGTTGTGCCCAGATCGTAACCCCCAGAGAGACCACCAAGGACGAGCATACCAGAATGCAAAAGCAAGGTTTATCTGTTACAAGTCATGACAGGGAACTCATCTCAAGCCATCTCAAGTGAGGCAGGGAAGAGTTACTCTTTCTTGGGGAAGTTAGTTTTTATAGGCAAAACCCATACAATTTCTTAGAGGGGAGGGGGTTAGTACGGGTCCATCCTTGATTGGTCCAGTTTTTCCAGGGCCTGGACTTTATCTTATTCTAGCTTTTCTGTTTGCCCTGTCAGGAGTTTTACAACTCATCTCCGGGGTCTGGTCATGTTATCTCCGGAGAGGGGCATCTCGTGGTTAATCGGTCACCATCAGACATCCTGACTCTGTTCTTTTGTTCCTGGGGCTGGCGCCATCATTTCTGGGGACTTGAAACTGGCCTGGGTCTATCTATATTGAGATATCTTTGTCTAAGGCCCCCCTTTTTGAGACAATAGAGTGAGGGTCTTGTTGTGCCTAGATCACCTCCCCAAAGCCGCCACTGGAGACTTTAGGTACAGAATGCAATAGTAAGGTGTTTTCCAAGTTTACAAGCCTCCAGGGAGGCTCTTCCAAATCTTTCACTCACAGCAGGGAGGTTGGAAGGAGAGCTCCCCTTTATTTGTGAGGCTAGTTCTTAAAGGCACAGACCATATAATTTATTTTAACCCGCCTCCCTTTTTAGTCTTTTGGTCGAATATCCTGACTGTGTTTTCCAAAGTCCCTGTAGCAGATACAGCCACCTGGGGAAAGGGGGTCTAAGTTCTTATCTACACTTAGGAATCCTGGTTTAAGCTTCTCTTTGTCTGTAGGGGATAGAGTGGGGGGTTTTACTGAGGTATCACAATTATCAGCTGGTTGTAGATTCTTCCTGGACCCTGGGAGAGGACTATCGTAGGGCTGGACCCCAATAGTCCTGTTAAGTACTGCCATTTTGGGGGGCCTCTAACAAACAAGATAAGCACTCAAGTGACTGAACAGCATCCCTCGCCCCTAAAGTTGCGTTTCCATAGGTATAGTCAGATTCATAAAGACAAAAGTTCTGTTTGGCACACACTTTTGGTGCCCTCACCTCTTTTTTGACCTAGTCTCACTATTAGCTTAGAGAGTCCTTAAACTTCCAGTCCTCCTGCCTTGGCTGTCAAAAGAGCTGGTTACACAGGTGTACATTAGCATACCTGGCCTACCTATCCTTTCTGCACCCCCCCCCCCCATGTAGGGGTCTTGCAATGCTACTCTCCTAACACCCTCCCTCTGAGATGGGGCGGGGGAGGTCTTGCAATGCTACCCGGTGCTCCCAGGCTGGTCTTACACTCCTACCTCAAGGATTCTCTGCTTCTGCCCCAGGTAGCTGGGACGACAGGTATGAGCCTCCCCCTGGGGCACCTTTCAGAGATCTAGCTGTAACCTTTAGAGATAAGGATTAGCAATTTGTCATTTGACTAGAGAAGCCATGCCCTCAAGGGGAAAAGAAAGCCATCTCAAGTCACACTCTCCCAGCTGCTGGCCTTGCTGCCCGAGGGAGGTCCCAGGCCACAGCAGGTTGGTCTGGAACTCAAAGATACCATCTTACTCAAAGATACCACCCTGCCTCTGCCTCTGGAGTGCTGGGATTAAAGCCACGAGCCACCACGTTCCGCTATTTTATTTATCAGATTACTTTTTTTCGACATACTTTCACACTCAGTTTATGCATGCTCTTTGATGAGAAGTATGTGAAGTTTTTTGTTTTCCTCCCTTGACTTGAAGTATTCAAGTAAGCAAACAGCATCGCTCGCGGGCCCCGCCCTCTTTGAGCCAGGAGCCGCTAAGCCCCCCCCCCCCCTGTTTCCGAGATGCCAATCTGCAAGCACAAGTCTTGGCCCCGCCTTCGGCCCCGCCTTCCCCTTGGAGCTGCTTATCAGCCGGCCCATGGCCACGTGCCTCCGAAGCCCCTTCTGTAGGGCTGTTTCCGGCGATGCCTATCTGCGGGCCGCAGGCGACAACCACGCCCCTAGTTCGGCTGCCCGGCGCCAGGACACGCGCCCGGCACGGGACTCTGCGCGCGGCGGCGCCTCAGGCATTGCGGCGGGCAGCCCGGGCTCCCGCGCGCCGCGGGCGTGGGAAGACCCCGGCGCCAGCCGTGGCGCAGAGCCGGTGGACGCGGCGGTAGCGGCAGCGACGGGCGTTGCGAGCGAGTTGGCTGCTCGTCTGTGAGACGCGCTTCTTCGGCGGTGGCCCGGCGCTGGCTGATTGTCGGGCGGCCGGCGCCATGTCTGTGAGCGAGATCTTCGTGGAGCTGCAGGGCTTTTTGGCTGCCGAGCAGGACATCCGAGAGGCGAGCCTCCCCATCCTTTTCTCCTTTTCCTTGCCAGGCTGGGCTACTTGGTCCCGCCCTGCTCCGTCTCTCGTTTTCGGGCCCGATGGGTTCAGGTTAGGCCGCCTCTCGGTTCCGGGCTCGACTTCTCTTCTTGCTCCTCAGCATCATCTGCCTCTTTGCATGTCACTTTTCCTTCCTGCCACTTTGAAATACCACTATTTCAGCATTCCAGTCCCAGGCTCCGTTAACGCCCGGGGCTATCTTCCAGGACACCTTTCTCTTGTACTGGTTGCTGGTATTTTTTTTTTTTTAAAGTACTTGTGATCATTCCTTTAAAAACAAAACAAAAACGAAAACAAACTTTGCTATAGCTTCTCACCCCACATAAAATTAAAAAAAGAAAATCTAGATTGTACTGTGGCTCTTAATGTCTCCTTCCCTGATCTCATTTTAATGCATGTTACTGTGTGTGTGTGTTCACATTTACCTTTTCATTCCACTAGTGCTTCAGATACTGTCCTGTCTGAGGACTCTTGGATATACTGTCTGCTTTTGCTGGAATTTATCTCCTGCTTTCGCAGACTCTTTCCTTTTGCACTGGAGACGTGTAGCCCTGGGAGGGGCTCGAACTTGAACCTTTAGCCTTTAGTGTCTTCGGTGCTGAGGTTACAGAGATGGGCAACACCATGAGCACAATTTGTAGTTCTCATCCTGACCTTACAATGTAAAGGGTTGCTTTTCTGCTAGCGTTTAAAATCCTGAAAAATGAAAACATGTTTACCTGTCCTATTTATTAAATTGCCAGAGGGATTGCTTGCTTTCTTCAGTGGTTGCATGGTACCCATCACTAAGTGTGCACAGTGTGTGTTTGTAAAATGAATGAGTGAGAACCACTCAATTCTTGTATGTAAGTCTTTGTTCTATACAACATTTACATTGCCAGCTATTCATTTTCATACTGTCTCAGATGGGTACTTGTGCAGGTGGCTGTTTTTCTTCTGTGGCTTCCCGAGGAACCTAAGGCTGTTTAGTGACTCCTTGAGTTGTGACAAGAACAAATGAGTGGAAGAGTGTGGGTTTACACCTGGGGAATCGCTTCTTGTGGAGGCCCTGAGGGCTGTGACTGGATATGAGATTGTGGTAGCAATGTTTGTTTGAGTCTATGATAATGAATACACTGACTTTATCTGATTTTTATTTTTAATTCTCTAGGAAATCCGAAAAGTTGTACAGAGTTTAGAACAAACTGCTCGGGAGATTTTGACCCTGCTTCAAGGGGTCCATCAGGGCACTGGGTTTCAGGACAGTAAGTGCTTTGATTTGCTTTTGAAGTTTTTTGTTCAATCTGTCAGTCTCTAAGTCACTTTTCATTGAGAAGATATACCCCATGCATCTGTGTCATTTTATTGTGTAAAATGTCTATTATGCTGTCTTTATAGTAGTAAAAATTAGAGAATAGTGGCTTGATCATTTTATGGATTTGCAATATTCTTGGTGTTTTGATTGCTTTTGACTTGTGCATAGATGTGTGGTTTAAATAGGGATGTTTGGCCGGGTGATTGTGGCGCACACCTTTAATTCCAGCCCTCAGGAGACAGAGCCAGGCGGATCTCTATGAATTCAAGGCCAGCCTGGTCTCCAAAGTGAGTTCCAGGAAAGGCGCAAAGCTACACAGAGAAACCCTGTCTCGAAAAGCCAAAATAAATAAATAAATTAATTAATTAATTAATAGGGATGTTTGTTGCTGTGACAGTCTATTGGCATTAATTACAGACGCTTAAAAACCTCTTGTTCATCTAAGAACTTTTATTTGGCTAATGTGCATGAGTGTGTGTGTGTGTTGGTTGGTGTATGTGTGTTGGTGGTGGTTTGTTTTTTCAGCAGGAGTCTTGCTTTGTTGCTTTGGCTGGTATTGAGTTGTGTTCCTCTGACTTGAACCTCAGACTTCACTGTGTGTGTGTTTTAATGTACACTTCTAATTATTGAATACCTTTTAATATACATTTGTAGATATGATGTGACAAGTGTAAAGTGTTCTAAAATCATATGTTTATACTCAGCCCTTTCATTGAGATTCTAATATGTCAAATTAGACATAGAACCCCATGTAAGATTTCATCTAGCATAGATAGCTAAGAGCTGAAATGATTTTCTCTTGGAGTCTTATAGCTTGCAGGTTTCCAAGACAAGTCATTTTATGTAGTGATGTGGACTTTATCAGTTTTAGAATAATCAGTAAAAGCTCTTTTTGATGATAGTGGGAGGTAGACACAGTCAGGTATCTGAGGACTGATAGGAATAGCAGCTGAGAAATAGTAGTCTCTGGTTTTAAGTTGATTAATGTCCAGATAGACTACATAGAGTTTTAAGAAAGAACTGTATTTGCAATTTGGTAAGTTTTTCATTACTAAATTTGATTATCTTTTCTGATTAGTTCCAAAGAGGTGCTTGAAAGCCCGAGAACATTTTGGTACGGTGAAAACACATCTAACATCTCTGAAGACCAAGTTCCCTGCGGAACAGTATTACAGGTTTGTAAGAAAAATTGCACTATTTTATGACGTTAGGTTTTGTAAACAGGCAGGAGAAAACAGGTGTTGAATGATTCCTAGAACAGGTAAACGTCTTTGTAGAAGGAACAGCAAAGTCAGGTTGGCAGTAGTGGCAGTCAGACTCGTGTTTTCTTATTTCCTTCTGTTTACTTTAAACGGTGGTTAAGGAAACCGGTACTTTTTAACAAAATTTGTTTGGAGATTGTAATTTGATCGCAACATTCCTCCCTCTTTCCCCCTCCCCTTTCTTTCCTTATAGTCCAGGCTGGCCTCAAAACTGGTGTATACTGAAGGATGATGGCCTTGACCATCGCTCCCTCCTGCCTTTACCTCCTGAATGCTGGGATTACATCTGTGTGCCATCATGCCTGGTTTATACTGTGTGTGGAGTAGAGTAGAACCCAGGGCTTTGTATGTACCAGGCAAACACTCTACCATTTGAGCCCTTTTCAATTTTCGTATTAATAAAAAATTGGGTTGTGCTTCTCATTGATTCAGCTTACAAGTAAATACTACAAAACTGAACTTGTCAAATTTAGCCAGATCTATTTAATGTATTTGAGTGCTGAGATGCTTCTGTGTTATGTGTTGGGGTGGCACATAGATTTTGTTTGTGAGCCCCATTTCTGATCTGCGGGACGCATCCTTGTGACAGCCCTTAACCTGGCACCTGCTGTGCCTTTGTGCAGGTTTCACGAGCACTGGCGGTTTGTGCTCCAGCGTCTTGTCTTCCTGGCAGCGTTCGTAGTGTATTTGGAAACAGAGACCCTGGTGACTCGAGAGGCGGTTACAGAGATTCTTGGCAGTAAGTGCTTTTGTGTGATCTGTAGAGTCACGTACATTAGCTTAGGTTTTGATATGGGGGGGAAATATCTGTCTGTCTGTGAGTGTGTGTGCACAGAACGTGTGACCCTCATATGGAGGTCAGAGGACAGCTTGGGTGTTGGTTCCTCTTCCCTCGTGTCCGTCAGTTCCCAATATTGAACTGATTCATCAGGCTTGGTGGCCAGCCTGAGGAGCGTGCAGTAGTATTATCTGTAGAGTTGGTTAGGGTGGGAACACCCTAAGAAGCTAGGAAAATTTCTCTCTTTATTTAACTGTGTACGTGTGTATATTTATTTATATTCTTCGCCTTAAAATGCCTTGATATGACTGTCTTTTATTCTGATGTTTTTTAGTTGAACCAGATCGGGAGAAAGGATTTCATCTGGATGTGGAAGATTATCTCTCAGGAGTATTAATTCTTGCCAGTGAACTGGTAAGAGGTGTGTGTGTCGGGGGTAGTCCTGTGTGTGTGCAGATGCACCTCTGTGAATGTGCTTTGGAATTTAGAGGACAGCCTTGCTGTCATTCCTTGTGCTGGTGTGTGTGTGTGTGTGTGTGTGTGTGTGTGTGTGTGCATTTGAGGTCAGAGGACAATCTCACTGTCATCCCTTGTGCTGGTGTGTGTGTGCATGTGAGGTCAGAGGACAGCCTCGCTGTCATCCCTTGTGCTGGGTCATCTTTTTGGGAAGAAAAAAGTTGTATTTATTGTGTTTGTGTGCGTGCCTGTGCCATGGAGTGTCCATGGAGTGTGCCATGGAGTGTGCACAGGACGGCTTTTAGTAGGTTCTGTTGTTCCACCATGTGGGTGCTGGAGATGGAGCTCTCTTCATTAGGCTTGGTGCAACCACTTTACCCACTGAGCCGTCCTGTAGGCCCTGCCTTGTTTTTTTGAGACGGTCTCTGGTCTGGAGCTCACCAAATAGGATAGGCTGGCTAGTGGGGCTCAGGGATCCGCCTGTCTGCGCTGCCCCAGGCTCGGGGTTATAAGGACATGCGCCCACATCGAACTTTTGTTTTAAACTGGATCCTGGGGATCAAACTCAGATCCTGATGCTTGCAAGGCAAATGCTTTACTGATTGCCCTACTTCTCCAACCCACCAGATTTTACTTTTTTCATCTTCCTGCTTCTGTTTCATTCTTAATTCTTAAATGGCTGTCTGAACTGAGGAAGTCTGGAGTCTTTCTTAAGCCTTCCAGCAGTCATGAGGTAGTCACTGACTGCATTTTATCTGTTGCAGTTAACTGTTAGGGTAGGATCAGAAAAATGCCAGTTCAGGTGCTGAGGGAGGGAGCTGTGCACATTTACTAATGGGCACCTTTTTTGGGACAAGATCTCATGGAACTCAGATGGGCCTTAAATTCACTGTATACAGCTGAGGATGACCTTGTACACTTGGTTCTTCTTCCTCTACTTCCCAAGTATTGTGGTATGTGATGTTTTAATTTAAAAGATGATAATACCTTTCTTTTAGAAGTGTCAAGACATGTATTTCTGACAATTGTAATAATTCATAGAGTAATTTTAGAGAACAGTTTGACTGTGGAGGTTATTTTTATTTTTTGAGACCAAGTCTTATGTAGCCCAGGTTATCCTGGAACTTGTGATTTTCCTCACAAGTTCACCTCAGCCTTCTGGGTGTAGGATTGCAGGAGTGTGCTACCACTTCAGCCCCTGGATACATTTTTTTTTTTTTTACGTTTTATAAAATCTTTATTGACAAATAAACAGACAAACAATTGTCTGTTTGCACAATTGGATAGACTTTAGTCCAGCATCCTCATAGCCCCATGACACCATTACCACTTTCTATTTTAGAACATCGCTGTCTTCAATTTCATACACACATATAATGTATGGTGATTACATTCTACCTTATTTTTTTAAATGAACATATATTTGCAGTTGAAACCATTTTTAAGTTCAAAATTCAGTGGCATGAATTACTTTCAAGATATTAATTACACTCATGATATTCGTTAATTATACACTTGATATTAATTACATTTGTAGTATTCATTGGTTACATTTGCAGTATTTATTCAATAACTATATTTATGATAGTCATTAAATTACATTAATTGTATTGATTTATTACATTCATGTTATTATGTCCTGATACTGCTGTCTGTTTGTGGGGCTTTCTGGATGCATAATTTTTAGTTTTTATTCCCTTAATCTGCTTTATTTTGAAGTCGTCCTGTAAAAATAACTATAGACAACACAGATCTGTCAATAGCAGGCATGGCAGCCTGCATAACCTTCAGAGGCAGAAAACTCAGTTTCTTTCGTTTATATTATTGTTTAGGTGTATTTCCTGTGTGTATATCTGTTCACTACATGCCAAAGGCCAGAAGAGGGTGTCACATCCCCTGGAACTGGAGTTACAGACAGTTGTGAGCCATCATGTGGGTGCTGAGACTCCATCCAACCCTGGTCCTCTGGAAGAGCAACTAGTTCTCTTAACTGCTGAGCCATCTCTCTAGCCCATTGTTCTTGCTTTACTATTACTGTGTCTGTGTGTACGGTGTATGTGAGTGCAGGTGTGTGGGGTGCCATGGCATTGTGTAGACGTTAGAGGACGACTTTTTGGAGTCTGCTCTTCTTCAGTCCACATAGGTTCTTGGGGTGGAACTCAGGTTGCTAGGCTGCACTCACTGAGCTGTCTTATTGGTCTCACTGTCTGAGTTTTTGAAAACCTACCCAAGCTGGGCCTGATGGCGCATGCCTGTAATCACAGGTTTAGTCAGAGTGATGTCTGCGAGTTGGAGGCCAGCCTCGGCTACAGGGTGAGATTGTTTCATATCCCCCAGAGATGGAAAAGAAGCAGATGGTTGGTTGATGGCTCTTTTGAACTTCAGCATGGATCTTTCTAGCTTTCTGGATTTTTCTTTTTTCATGGTGGCCCTGTGCTCTAGATTTGGCAGTTCGCAACTGTGATATACCCAGTAGGGGGAGGAATAGAAAAGGGGAACCACTCTTTTTAATGGTGTTTTTTTTTTTTTTTTTTTTGGTTTTTCGAGACAGGGTTT